CTGTTCTATGTATAATTGGAATTTGTACTTAAATAATGTTTAGCTATGACTATGCTTGTATGATTTGTGTGTGTGTTACCTAATCGTTATTTCTACACTTGGAACCAAGTGAGATGTTTCTCACTCCTTTTTTGTCCTTTGTATGTGTTTAAAATTGTGTTGCAGGTGATCATCAGCATGAGGATGTTGGTGATGAGGCTTAGGCTTCAGTTGGGCATGCTTTGATAGGATATGTGACATCGGGGCATAGCTAGGCGTAATTAGGATTTCATTATTGTATTTTGTTTTAGAAGAGTTCATGTTTCATTTTTCTGCATTTGATCATGTTTTAAGTTGATGAATGTGAATTCTCTACTCTCATGTTATTGGAATTGTTGTTTTAATTCCACAGTTTTTTTAACCTAGTAAGATATTTCTTTTAATTATTATATAATTATGTTGGGGTAGAGGGTGTCACACCCAACATTGAAGCCTAAGCTTCGTCACCAACATCCTCAGCCTCATGCTGATGATCACCTGTATAACAATGAAAGGAAAACAACACAAAAGAAAAGGGAGTGAGAAGCATTTCACTTTGGCTCACGGTGTAGGAATACACACCGGATAGCCAAACACAAACAAGACATGTATATGTACATAACATTGATAGATTAAAAATAATATCACATTCCACTCATCAAAGACATAAAAATCACTTTAACATATAACATTAAAATGCACATGTAATGGACACAGACTACATATTATCATGCATGTGGCGCTAGTAACACATATCACATGGTGTATTGCCGCTAGCAATACACGAGAGTAGTCCACGAGTACATGCTAGGTCACACCCTCTACGTACTCTCACTAGAAAGACATACTACCAGGATCTAGTCGGGATAGCTAAGCATGTGCAAGATACATCCCATGCACACAATGGGCGAGACTGGAACTTCCAAACTGAGCTATCTTCAAGGACTAATTCCAAATCTTTTACACAAGGGGGCCTTCCCTGGTGGTGCATTCCATATCGTACCCTTAAAAATATTTATGCAAATTATACATGTAAATCAAGACTCTATGCATTCTCATATCATATTATCATGTCTCATTATCATATAACATCAACATGTCTCATTATCATATAACATCAACATGTCTCATTATCATATAACATCATCACATATCTCATGTCTCATATTCACTTTTCACATTATCTCATGATATTCACATAGTCTCCATAGAGCATTTTAATTCATATCAAAACTTGTCTATTTGTGAAATTAAACACATATTCGTACATCTCATCTAACAAGGAACACAACAGAACAATCAGAAGGAAAAATAGAAAACATTCATATTTTGTCTGTTTCTCATAGGATTCTCTCAGGAATCCACAAAGCACTCTAATTCATACAATAAACATTTAAAACAATACAATTTACTCATAGAATTGCCTCTTCAAACAATCTCCTCTTACAATCACTAATGCATTCCCTTAGGATTTCCCATAGGAACCCATAGGAACACCAAAGTCTGCAATTATAATCCAAACACAAACACTACTCATACATACATACATACATACTAATTACATCAATTAGAACATTCAGGGAGAAATAGGGATGAAACAAATACAATTGGGAAAAACCCCTCATACATGAGCATACAACAAACATAGGATTAGGGCCAATCCCACTACCCAACATACATTCCCACACCCAGAGCGAGGTTTCTCACTCCTCCCTTACCTAGATAAGTAGAAGATGAAGCTAGAGCAGAATCTGGTTGATCTCCTTCTCTTGGTTCTCCTTGGTCTTCAGAGGGTGTGTTCAGAAGCAGTGTTAGAGTCTATTATTTATAGATGTCAGGAGTGGCCAGAACGACCTGTTTCAGATCCGAAACGGTCCATTCTGATCTTATTCGTCATGTGTAAAATTCACATCTAGAACGACCCATTCTGGGGTTGCATTTTAACACATAACAACCATGTTTGGAACGACCCGTTCTCAACTAGGGTTATAAGCCTTTTTAGTAGTTTGGAACGGCCCGTTCCATTTTGGGAACGACTCGTTCTAAGCTACCAAAAATAGGTCTTTTAAGTAGTTTGGAACGACCTGTTCTAGTTTGGGAATGACCTGTTCTGGGTTACTAAATCACCTGTATTGGACTTTGAGCCTTCGTATAATCTGTGAAAATCGGGGTGTTACATGAAGCATCAAAGGAACTTCATGTATAATTTATTAATGTTATTTATACTTAATTAAATTTTTTTATCATTCTTAATTATAAACTTTAATTGTGATTTGACTTTTTTTAATAGATGAGGGTTCAAGAGGTTGCTTTAGAGAAGTTAGAAGGAATGAATGAAGAGATTAATAAAGATCGAGTTGTCAATGCGGCTTTTCAATCAATTGTAGGAGAGAGATCAGGGTATTGTCATGGTCTTGGTGCCGGCATTCAACCAATAAAGGGAAAATCAATTACAAGTTTACATGAACAACTAACAAATGAGTGTGAGAAACGTCAGAGTATTGAAATGAAATTGAAAGAGGTTGAGACCCAACTTCGAGAAGAGTGTAATAGGAGGGAGGAAATGACAACACACTTTGAAGATACTCAGAGAAAAATTGAAGAAAGTCAAAGAACACTCAAAGAAAGAATGGAAAAACAGTTCAACGACAGGATTATATATATATTTTTTAGAATGCGCCTTTTTTCTAAGTATAAATAATAATTAAAACTTATAAAATTCTTATTTTCTAAAAGTTTATTTACTATTCAAATTATTAATTATTAATTTATAAGCCTTTCAAACATTTATATAGGCTAGACAATCTTCCTTTAGAATCAACAATGTGTCCAAATCGAATGGTAAAGTTGAAGCAGCTCTAAGAAGGTTCTTTAATTTAACATGCTTATTGATAAAAATGTTTCAATTTTACATTAGTTTTTTTTATCATTTATTATGAAATTGTGTTTTGGATTTATTTAGAGTTTAAATATTTTATTGTTGGCCTACATACAATAATTTGAAAGATTATAATGTGTTATACATTTAAAGATAATATAAATTTGTAACACCCCAATTTTTCATACTTTATATAAATAATATTTTTGAAGTTATTTTGATATTTAATATAATTATTTTAGAATTTTGATATTATTTAATTAATTATATGAGCTATATTTTATTTATGAGACATGATTTATAATGATTATTTTGATTAGTGATAAATAGTTATCTTTTATGAAATGTATTTTATTCATAATACATAGTATTTATTTTAATGTTTTTATGTGTTTATTAGAAGGATTTTTAATATTATTTAACTATTTGATATGAGCTTTATTTTTTTTTTGTATAAAACATATGTTATTTTTACTAAAATGGAAAAGTATATTTTATATTATTTATCTATTTTATATGAGCTCTATTTTAATATAAAACATAATTTTTAATTAATATTTGATTATTTGATATGCAACAAGTTATTATGAAATATACTTTATTAAAATTAAGTATATTGTTATTTTAATTAAAAAGAAAGAAGTGTATTTAATAATTTTTAATTATTTTTTTAAAGGGAAAGGGAGGATGTAGTGGTAATTTTGTTATTATTATTATTATTATTATGCACACTAACATATTGTCTTAATTTGAAAATGTATCAAGTGCATTAAAGGCTGTTAAATGTAAAATATCATTTAATGCATTGATTCTCGAGAAAGGTAATGCATGGAGAAGTGAGAAAGGCAGAGGCGCTTCACATCAACACCTACTCATACTATTCCTTCAATCTACCAACCACGATGCTCAAACTTAATAATTTCTCTTTCCAACTACCTAGTAAACCTTAACTGTTTTCCCTCTATACTTATGTTTTCACAAAATTCCTTCGCGAACCCCATTGTTGAAACATTACCCACAAATATGCATTTACTTGCCATCCTTAAGTACTTGAGCATATAAACATAAAAGGTGAAGGTACTTGAGCACTAAACACCCAACACGACAATCTTGTTGCATGTACTTGTTGGCAAACATATCTTCCTCAGGTGCATGAGGGAAGGTGTTAGCACTTCATGAAGCCATTACATGGCTCTCAAATCAGGATGTGAATAATATCGCCATAGAGTTGGTTATTAGCATCAACAATAACACTTGTGACCTCTACGAATTCGATACTATCATACCCCAGTGTCTCTAGAACATCTATTTCTTTTGTTAGTACCTTTATATATATATATATATATAGTTAATTATCTATACACTGTCAGTGTAAAGTTTTTTTACACTGATAACCAATTATATCTTTTAATTGTGTCATGTCACT